GCGCCTCCAACTCAGGTTGGGGGGCGCTGTGCGAGGGCATTCCGACCTTCGGCCACTGGTTGAAGGCGGAAAAAGGCTTCCAGATCAACTGCCTGGAAATGCTAGCAGTATGTTGAGCCTGTCAGTTCTTCCTGCCAGTCCTGAAAGGGCACCATGTGCTAATCCGATCGGGACAACATGTCGGTTGTGTCCTACATAAATCGCCAGGGAGGCCTCTCTTCAAAGCGCCTCTTCATGCTGGTAGAGCGCTTCTTAAGAGTGGGCTCAACCCAACTTGCGCTCGCTAAAGGCAGCGCATATACCGGGCAAATTGAACAAGGGAGCGGACATGTTATCAAGGAGCAATGTCCCCTCAGGGGAGTGGATGCTCCATCCGCAGACGGTTCAGACGATCTGGGAGATCTTCGGCGAGGCCGAGGTAGACCTCTTCGCCTCAAAAGACAACTCTCACTGCCAAATTTCTTAAACACAATTTCGGAAGCTAGAGTTCTGTCTACGAGACGCCTCTATGCCTTAAAGTGGGTTTTTTTCTCCACCTGGTGTCTAAACCATGGCAAAGACCCCCTCACTTCCGAATTGGCAGAGGTGCTGTCATTTCTAAAAGAGCTGCTGGATAAGGATCGTTCCCCATCCACGCTCAAAGTCTATGTGGTGGCTATAGCGGCCTCTCATGTCCCTATTGAGGGTCAATCGGTGGGCAGAAATAGCGTGGTCATCCGCTTCCTGAGGGGTGCAAGGAGGCTGAATCTGCCTTGTCCCCCTACCGTCCCTTCATGGGACCTGCCCACTGTGCTGAGGAACCTGAAGGGCCCTGCTTTTGAGCCAACATTAGGTCGCTATCGCTGAAGACTGCTCTGCTTCTAGCACTAGCATCAGTAAAGTGAATAAGGGACCTGTAGGCGCTCTCTATTAGCCCTGCCTACCTGGAATTTGGGCCTAATGAATCTAAAGTCGTCCTGAAACCAAGGCACAGTTACGTACCTAAAGTGCTCTCCACTCCGTTCAGAGCACAGGTCATTACGCTCTCTCCGCGCTTCCTCCAACTGAAGAGGACAGAGAGCTATCTCTGCTCTGCCCTGTCAGAGCGTTGAGAATCTATATTGAGCGTTCCGCTCCCTATAGGCGATCGGAACAACTCTTTGTCAGCTTCGGTAACCGCACCAAAGGGTTTCCGGTTACGAAGCAAAGACTCTCTAGATGGATAGTAGACGGCATCTCGCTAGCGTACTCTTTCTTGGGCCTCCAATGCCCCATTGGAGTACGGGCCCACTTGACTAGAGGCATCGCCTCGTCGTGGGCATGGTCCAGTGGTGTGTCCGTTGCAGATATTTGTGAGGCGGCCGGCTGGGCCTCACCATCCACATTTGCGAGGTTTTATAACCTGGAAGTCCCGGTCTTACAGGCTAGGGTCCTTTCCGCTTGAAATAGGCACGCGCTGCGTAAACGACTATGGCAGAGAGCCCTTGGCCGTACCACGCCCAAGTTCTCTGGCATTGTTTACCTGTTAGCTCTCGACCCCTGGGTGTCGAAGTTATGGGGATACTCTGGAACGATTAACCAGGCCAGGTGTGACCTAGAAAGCTCAGCCCGTCTAGTCTTGGGTTATTGTTGACTTCTCTATAAGCATTGGTTGCTTATGGAACTTATACCTTAAGTCGTTCCACTACATTAGCACGGCGTGATTGGACTGTTCCCAAATGCGTCTTAAGCAAGACGCAGTACAAGTGAAGTATCGAAAGGGAACGTACTTGGTTACTAACGTAACCCCAGTTCCCTGAGATACGGGAACGAGTACTGCGTTGCTTGCTATGCTATGTAGCTGCACGACTCAGTGGTCGCTTCAGTCGGAGTAAACCTGAGAATCCTGTGGCGAGTGCCCGCCTATATAGCCAGATGCTCCGCCCATTCTGGCGGGCTTTGGTGGGCTTCGTCGCCATAGGCTCGTGCAGCTCCGCTGCCGAGCCATTGGTTAGTTTTTTAAGCTCTGCATGAACCAATGGCCGTGCAGTTTCACTACGTGAATGAAAAAAGGCTTCAGTTCAGGAGAAAAAAGGCTTTTTCCCATATGCGTCTTAAGCAAGACGCAGTACTCGTTCCTGTATCTCAGGGAACCGAGGTTACGTTAGTAACCGAGTATGTTTTTTTTCCTGTATTTTTGATCAAATAAATGCAGCCTTGATGAGAATAAGAGACATCTTTAAAAAACATTACGAGTCTTACTGATCCCAAACTTTTGACCGGTAGTGTATTTCAGCTTGGTCCACCACCAACTGGTTACTGGCTCTTTTATTTAGAAGGCAGGACTTCATCCGTCATATTACGTGTTACGCTTTCTCCCATTCTGAGTAATATGAGTGAACTGCCTTCGTATATACACTATAGGTCCCTATAGGCTTGGAAAAATTATGATTTTTTAAATGTTTTTGAAAGTCTTATGCGCACCAAAGCTGCATTAATTTGATCAAAAATATTGTAAAAACTGTAATATTGTGAAATATGATCATTTAAATTAACTGTTGAAATGAGTCGAAAACCATGATACACTACAATTCACAAGTTTGGGGTAAGATAAAAAAAAAATCCACCAAATTATTTTAAAAAATGATTAAAAACATTGCTCACTAAAAATGCATTAAATTGAACAAAAGTTACTTACATTTATAATGTTAAATAATATTTATATTTAAAAAAAATAAGAAGCAAAACCTGTTTTCAACATTGATTATAATTAGAACCATTAACAATTGAGCACCAATAATAATTGATGATAACCGAGCAGCACACGGGCTTAGGTTTGTTCAAATTCATGTACAGTACAATAGTAATAGTGATGCTTGCCTTTGCACACACTAATAATCTTAATCTGACAGTAGTGTGCATGAGACATTTTGTATGTGACATGTTTAGGACAATGATGTATAGCAGAATTTTGTTTTATTTCACTGTGACAGTTGTGACAGTTATCTGCAGTGATTTGTGTGTCAGGAAAAATGCACAGAGCTGGCAACCTCACCAAGCCAGGTTTTACAGCCAGTAAGTGTGGGTGTCACTCTCCAGATATCTAAGGCTTAAGTCTCAGTGTTGCTTTTCAGTGGGTTATGCAAGGCTGGCAGGATACACCACCTTCACCTCGCCAGCCTGAGGCTCTATTTTAGTCCAGCAATAACTTTCACATTTACATCACACCCTGCCTTAACACAAGCCTCATGTAATGAACATACATGAACACAGAACCCTCAACAGGCTAGACTGCTCATTTAAAAATATGGACAAACCATAGTAGAGTAAGATGGGGTAAGAAACTTGAAATCCTATTTGGAATGCAAGTAATGATATTTGTATATGAACAGTAACTTTAAGATAACTTTAATATCACTGAGAAATAAATATAAACATTAACTGAAATAAAACATAAAAAACGGGTAAATTATTATAACTATAATAGTAAGTCAATGATACTAAAATAACTCTTGACAGATGTACCTTGGTGGCATGATGTTATTATTATTATTATTTTGAAATATTAATATAATTCATGGGGTTATTATTCAATAATTCCAATTTCTTTTCTTTTTTTAAGAAAAAGTTTATTTTGAATAAACGCAGTTATTTAAAACTTTTTATTCATCAAATAAACCTGAAGTAAGTTTAAACTAGAAGTTAAAATTGAAGATTTTGGGTCAGTACATTTTTTTTCTTTGAAATAAATTTAATATTTACTATATTTACTTATATTTTTACAAACGATTTATATTTTGAATAAATGTTGCTTGTTTAACCTTTTTTCCTTGCTGACTAAAAGTATACTTTTTTTAATATTACCCCAAACTTTTGAATTATAGTGTATTATGGATGTCAACTGATTTCAACATCATAATAAGAAATAAGTTTGATAGAAATCATTAAATTTTAATTTATACTGTTATTATATTATGACATGTGTTCAATTAAAATACTGTCAGTTTCATATGTACATATTCATATGCCTGTGTAAAAGTCAAAGAATAAGTTTACCTATCAGATGAATCTCTTTTACTGGTATTATACTTTGTATGTCATTGGTTGTTCAACAAAATTGTCAAAACACAATTTTAATATATTGATTTAACTAATTTAGTATTTTACATTGATGACACTTGAAAAATTATATAAATATAAGAATTATACATAATAATCCTTTATATGTTATGTAAAAGTTTACCCAGAGGGGCTTTTTGCCAAAGATAAATTTGGCATTTTGTGCTACGATAACTAAATTATAAAGATGTGTTTATTTATTTTCTGTCAATAGCACATTGGCTGATGCACCATCATTCTGATATGCTAAACTTATATCTAAAGATGTTACAATTTTTTAAGTAAATATTCTTAAGGGGCAATCTTCTCTCATCTTTCCATATTGTTTGAAGCACACTGGAGAGCAATGTAATTCCAGTGTTATATGAATGTGGCCATTTTAGAGTATCATGGTACAAAGTCAAAGTACCAAGGTATTAAAAGTGATTGACATCACTGTACCTTAATACCGCCAGTATTAATACTACCAATAATGGTCACTGTGATTTTCCAAGTAGAACATGTTCTTGGATCAACATTATTTGGTTGGTCCTGGAACAAGATTCCTGTCAATAAAACAATGTCCTAACCTCAACCCTAACCATTAACTTGATGGTTCCAAACCCAGCCTTATGCTTAATCCTAACTCAAACCATACTGTTTGATAGCGATGTTGCCCTAGAACCAACAAAAGATGTTGATCCAGGAAATGGTGCCAATGTTGTCCTACTTCGAAAAATCAAGGTAACCAGCCTTATTGGTTTACAGGAATGTTGTTCCAGGACAAATAAGGATGCTGAACTAGGTACACATACTACTTCAACAAATCAGAACAATTTTCCAATAACAGGACAGTGAAAATGATGCCACAAACAATGTTACAGACGTACTGAACATACAGTACGGTGAATGTGAAGGGAATTGAGAGTAATGGACAACAATACCTGGCCCACAGGCCTGCTGGGGAGAACATGTCTTGTGCAAATGAGCTCTGATACAGGTAAAGACACACCAGGTGTCCCCCTGTGAAGAAAGCCACCATCACGCACAATGTATTAAATCCCAGATGGCTGATGGGAAAGTGGCAAGCCCACCATGTGCACACTCCAATAAAGAGAAGGAAGTAGAAGGCAGAGAATGCAGAGGGTAAAGTGATTCCTGGAAAGAGAAAGACATGAATTCAAATCCAATTCACATACACTTTAAAATTAGACCCGAAACATTCTTTACACAAAGTGCTTCTATCTTCGAAAGCTTCACCTAACAAGGTGCTCTGAAATGCATCAGGACATAATTCAGAATATAAAACTAGTTCTTTTGCCACAAGAGATGCATTAGCAGAGTTTTCTAACCATAACTTGTGTCCCAAATGGCATGCTATAAGGAAAGCCACAATAGTTAAGTGCATGAAGTGTTGAACATTTTACAATTCTTTTTGAAGTGCACTTTTCGTTGAAATGTTTTGTGTAAACACACTGCTCAGACTATGAAATGGCATGGAGTAATGAGTAAGCGGCTATGGTTAGTTTTCTCTTTCAGGTCAACTTGTGTAATGGCGAAGCAACAGTTGAGCATGTTAATCTGTCAACGTGTTTATAAATAGCTACCTGAATAATAACACATCAAGTTTACTGGCACACACATTTGAAGGCAACAGTGCAATGAGACTCTGCACTTGCAAACTGCTTTTGTTTACATGCATAGAGTATGTTTCTTGTCATCCCTCAAAAACAAAGTCTATGAGGAATCAGTTGCAATCTGGAACCTGCTAGTTACATGTTTATGCCCACTGAGATTTAATGATTGCATCCCAAATCATTACTTCTACTACCCAATGAAACATTTGTTGGTGATGGAAAAGTACATCCCTTTGAAAAAAGTATTGGACATTTTGACACATCATCAAATTGCATCTTGACACTTTGGAACCCTTTTGTCACAAGCCGCTCTTGGCCATGGTGGAGTTTGGAGTGTGACTGTTTGAGGTTTTGGACAGGTGTCTTTTATACTGATAATGAGTTCAAACAGATGCCATTAATACAGGTAACGTGTGGAGGACAGAGGAGCCTCTTAAAGAAGTTGTTACAGGTCTGTGAGAGCCAGAAATCTTGCTTGTTTGTAGGTGACCAAATACTTATTTTACCGAGGAATTTACCAATTAATTCTTTAAAAATCCTACAATGTGATTTTCTGGATTTTTTTTTCTCATTTTGTCTCTCATAGTTGAGGTATACCTATGATGAAAATTACAGGCCTCTCTCATCTTTTTAAGTGGGAGAACTTGCACAATTGATGGCTGACTAAATACTTTTTTGCCCCACTGTACATCCCTTTGAAAAAAGTATTGGACATTTTGACACATCATCAAATTGCATCTTGACACTTTGGAACCCTTTTGTCACAAGCCGCTTTTTTTTATGCATGTAAGCATACTGTACATCTAGCTAAATGTACTGCCTTAATTATGCATATCTTATTGTATGTTAATATGCATATCATTCCTAAATCAAATATACTATTTAGAAAAGATTTTACAGAAAACCTGTATATCAGGTTCAAGACTAATACAGGTTCTTGTTCTCACAACTATTGTTGACATATGGACACAATTTATACCGTTGACTTTGACTCTTCCATTTAATCTCTCATCATTTATTGCTTGCAATGTCCAACTTTATGTTAAGCCTGTTGATTCTCTTACCAGCTAGTGCTAGTAGTGTGACAGCCAGGATGCGGCCCATGTGTCTGAGGAAGTGCTGTGCCGTGGCACGCAGACGGGCAGCTAACTGTGCCGCCCTGCTGCTTGAGTAAGGACTCTCCTCATCTTCTGTCTCACTACATGACAACATTCCCTCATCTTCTCCTTCTACATCATCATCATCATCTTCCGTTTCATCCTCCTAAAAAGAAGAGAACAGACACATGAGAAAGACTTGATTGATGCTGGGGTGAAAAAATAGGCCACATAATAATTACGTTTTTAATCCAAAATAATATACAGTATTTCTATTTCTAACTGTTCACTAATCTTTGAAAATGACCAAAGTTCTACTGAAAAGACATGTGATATTGGTGAGCTTGTGTCCCAAACTTTAAAACCAAGACTGAGAATGCTTGAAAGCACTGTAAAAACATACGTACTGTCTGAGAGAAACTGAGAAATAGATACAGTAAGAGGCAGAAACTGAGGTATGTGTTTAGAAAGTTTAGAAAGTACAAAGCTTTTGCAGGCATCTGTGCCGTGGCACGCAGACGGGCAGCTAACTGTGCCGCCCTGCTGCTTGAGTAAGGACTCTCCTCATCTTCTGTCTCACTACATGACAACATTCCCTCATCTTCTCCTTCTACATCATCATCATCATCTTCCGTTTCATCCTCCTAAAAAGAAGAGAACAGACACATGAGAAAGACTTGATTGATGCTGGGGTGAAAAAATAGGCCACATAATAATTACGTTTTTAATCCAAAATAATATACAGTATTTCTATTTCTAACTGTTCACTAATCTTTGAAAATGACCAAAGTTCTACTGAAAAGACATGTGATATTGGTGAGCTTGTGTCCCAAACTTTAAAACCAAGACTGAGAATGCTTGAAAGCACTGTAAAAACATACGTACTGTCTGAGAGAAACTGAGAAATAGATACAGTAAGAGGCAGAAACTGAGGTATGTGTTTAGAAAGTGATAAATGTGAACAAAACATCAAAGCTTTTGCAGGCATTTACTTGTTTTGCACATGTGAGAGTGTGTTACTCTTGGCTCCTCAGGGTCATAGCAATCATATCTGGCCAGGCTGCGGAGCCAGACAGGCATGTTTGCATCATGAAGTGTTTTTGGGCAAAAGCTGAAACACTGTTTAAACCAGTGACCTGGTGTAGTCAAAGAAGTCTATAATACCTGAAGAGACAAAGGGTATTTTTAGAACTGAACACAAAAGAAGATATTTCAAGGAATGTTGGTAACCAAACGGTTTCTGCTAGCCATTAAGTGCATTTTGCCCCCCATACTATAGAAGTCAATCAGCAACTGTTTGGTTACCAACAATCTTCAAAATATCTTTTTTTTTTCCTTCAACAAAAGGAAGAAATTCATATATTGTAACAACTTATTGTAAATTTCATTTTTTGCTGAACTATTCCTTTAAATCCCTGTTTTGGAACAAAGCAAATGATCTACAGTACAAGTGTGAAAATGTTGATTGTCATTTGGTACAATGTTGCATTTTCGTCCTGGTTCACCTTCACAAAACGACGTTCCAAAGCTTAACAAAATAGTATGCAAGTCACATGTAAGTAAAACTGTCCTCTCATTGGTCAAAGCACACTTGTTTAGGTTCTGGGATTCTGCTCATTGCGTCAATCATTAAGATTTACAAGTTAGCTCCGTGGGCTTAATGTGGCTTTTTCTGTCAGTACACACACTTTCAAAAACATATATATGACCCTGTACCACAAAACCAGTAATAAGGTTAAATTTTTCGAAATTGAGATTTATACATCATTTGAAAGCTGAATGAATAAGCTTTCCATTGATGTATGCTTTGTTAGGATATGACAATATTTGGCCGAGATACAACTATTTTAAAATCTGAAATCTGAGAATAATGATCTTTAAAAAAGCATCATATGACCCCTTTAATACTGTGTTCCAGGGTCACATATGAGCCTTCATGCTATATATATACGTATATACACGCAGTCAAACCAAAAATTATTCAGACACCAGATATAATGTTTTGATATTTTTTTACTAGTGGGTGCAGGACACTATAGTTCATTTATGTAAGTGAGGATAGCAAAA